AAATTAACCTGACAGATACGACGACCTGAAAGACATACAGAAAGAATGGATGTGAATGAAACGGGCCCAGGATTCCTCTCCTAACACCCAATTTTATTTTACTTCCCATTCCTCTCAGGGAGACAAACCCGATTTCCCCTTCCCCTCTTTATCCCACAAGGAGAAATGTCTTTTACTTCAGTTAACCCTGTTTGAGCCATGGTGGCGCAGTGGTTAGAGTGCAGTACTGCAGGCTACTTCTGCTGACTTCGAGATGACTGCAATTTGGCAGGTTGAATCTCAACAGGCTCAAGGTTGATTCATCCATCCTTCTGAGGGCTGTAAAATGAAGACCCAGATCATTGGGGACAAGATGCTTACTCTGGAGAGGAGGAGCCAATGTCACGACATTACATTGTGCGGACTCGGCAGTCCGAGTCCGCCGATGACACTTTTGCCCCTGGACTGTCCGGAAGGACCTAAACCGTTCCAAAGAGATGGTGACTGGGAAGACAAGACCTTGCTGGTTGCAGGGACACCGCAAAGTCCCTGATTGACCCAAGGGAAGCGCTTCCAACTGGCAGCAAACAGGCAGCCCCCCGGCTGACATAGTCGGAGATGGCTCCGAAAGAAAGAAGTGAAAGTGTTTCCATCTGGCGAGGTTCCTTCTTTCTTTTACTTTTAGAAGATTGCCCTAAGAAACTTTTTTTAAAGCTAAATTAGTCCTCTATGTTAGAACAAAGCAGCGAATTTAATCCCTATTGGACTGCCTTAAAAAGTTTTTTGCTCTTGCTTGTAACGATGTTTTGTGGATTGAAGTGATTGCAATGTTTCCTGTTTCTCTGCTTGAGGTGAATGGACTGATCCTTTTTCCTCTATTTCTTTTTATTACTTTAAGTTTTTTTGGCTAAACTTAATTTTTTTTTATTTTAACAAACTTCTCCTTGTATTTGTTATAATATTATATTAAAGATACTTAAGGAAAAAGTTTTTAAAAATAGTTGAATCTGCCACTTGGAAGCCTAAGTCTGAAGTTTCCTTTTGTTGTAATAATGTATCCTTTGTTCATTCCTATTTGACTATACTGACTTTGCAACAGAAGGTTTTGGAACCTGATAAAGACTCAAGGTCACAAGCAGTGTACTGCTGGTGCTTGTGGAAAATATTTTGGCAAGAGTTGGAAAAGGAAAGAAAAAGATAGAACCATTCTCTTTTGAAAACCACAAAAGAATTTGTGCCTAAGATTTAAAATAAAAATAGATATATTCTTCAAAAAAAATTGACAGGCCAGAGTGGCAGAAATTACCAAATTCCTCTTTTTCTTGATATTTCTTTTTACTCTAAAAAATTGATCAATACTCAGATGAAGAAAATTTGATAATCCAAAACATTTTGGCTGGACTTCAAAACATCTTAGAAGGATTTGAGAGATTTGATAATAAAATGGACAGGCTGTGGGATATCACAGAAAAAGATGATGGGGTTGGAGCTCCAGAAATTAAAGAAGCGAATGAAAGTACAGAAAACAAAGATAAGACGTAAGATGAACTTATTAATGGAGTAAATGTGAGTGAAGGGAGAAAGAAGGGAAGCTTGAAAAGTGACTTTGATAATGGTGCTTCATTCCAAATTCCAAGATGCAGGAGAAAAAGAAAGAGCAAAAAAGATGGAGTTAATAAGACAAATCTATCCAGAAATAAATTTGACAACCACAGTTAAGCTTACATTAACAACAACGAAACTACATGAGAGATCTTTTAAGCTACAAAGTGCGGAGAGAAGCCTTAAACCCTGGAAAGGCCCTGAAAAGAGAATTGACACAACAGCTGGTGAGAGAGAAAAGACCATTTTACTACTGGNAAAATCTCCATTCCCATTTCACTCTAAAGCCAGTCCGAAGTAGTATTTGCCAGTTCTCTGAATTACTTATAATTTCCACTACTTGTTCTCCAGAACCTGTCACAACCTGCTGAATTTCACCCCTGCTCCAAGGGTCATGTAGCATGTGAAGGTCATTGCCTGGACCTGGAGTTTAGTCTAGACCAAATCAGGCTTGTCCTCTGCTTAAAGAGTCAGATCCTGGGGTCCCAAGCATCTCTCCTGCGGGATCCAGTTGCAACTTCCAGTCCTGTTTTCTTTCTCATTTTCTTTACGTTCTCCAGAGATGTCCTCGAGCATTCTAGGTGCCATAAATAGGGGTTTTAATTGGGTCTACAGAGGAACGGAAGTCCCTGTTTCTCTGCAGGATAATAACTTTTTCGCACTAGTGTAATCTGGTCCGGTCCTTTCCCTTTCTCACTTTCACCCTTTAGAGGCTTCCGTTCATTCCTCGTCTCTCCCCCACTCCTCTAACTAATCCACCATGGGAAAACTAGATCCTTCAGCAGGACTGCAGAAGAAGTGAGATTCCGAGAATTTCCTTGCCCCCTATCCCCGCTTCGCCCACTGTGAAGGGATCTCAAATGGTTCATCTGGGGCATTGGCGCTTTCTTCCCCTGGGGAAGGGATTCTTTAGGACAGGGGTCTCCAAACTCAGCAGCTTTAAGAGTTGTGGACTTCAACTCCCAGGATTACCTGCTGACTGAGGAATTCTGGGGGTTGAAGTCCATAACTCTTAAAGTTGCCAGATTTGGAGAGCCCAGATCTATTACAGCCACAAAGATGCTCTCTGCAGGACTGTCCTGGGGTTTTCCCATATTCTTTAAGTGCCTCTCTACTCCTGGTCCCTCTTCTCTGTGCTTGGAGTTTTAAAGAGCCCCAAAGAAGAGAAAGGAATGTGCCGGCCACATGACTACAAAGATGTCTTTGGACAGCACTGGCTCTTTAGCTTTGAAACAAAGATGAGCACTGCCTCCTAGAGTTGGGAATGACTAGCATTTCCTTATTTCCTTTGCTTCAGGGCACTCTCTGGTATCACCGTACTTCTTTTCCCACGACCTACACATTAACACAATTTCACAGCTGTGGGTGCTGCACTGACTTCAGAGCCTGAAACCACAAAGAGAGGCTCCTGAAGAACAAAGAAAGTGCAACGGATGGAGAGAGAGTTGGTCTCATCTGGAACCCTTGTCAACTGAAGTTCGTTCTCCATTGTCTTCGGTCGCAGGTGCGGGTGGTCGGAGGGCGATGGCGTTGCAGCGGGCGCCCCTCTTGCTCCTGCGGGTTGTGTTGGGGTCCTTGGTGCCGGTGGGCACATGCGGTGAGTTTCTGGAAGGGTTTGCCACCTGGTGGGTAGAAGTTTAAAGTGGGTGGGGGAGGAAACGCGTGTCTTGTTTGAGTGTCTCCCCCATATTCACACACACACTCGTCGCAAGTTCCTTTTCCAGCAGGAAGCGTCTCCCTTCCCTCGTTCTTCGCTTGGTCTCATTAAGAACTCACTGTATTCAATTTATCTGTATTTGAGCAAGGGAGCAGGAACGAACGGCGAGTGTTCAATATTCAGAGTCTTCCCAGCGTCTCCTCTGGTTAAATTCGCTTCCTCTAGTTTTTATTTTTATTCCCTGTTATCAACTCATGAACGAGGGACACACGCAGAGCACAAGGAAGGTTTTAATAATTAGTTTTTTTATTTTGGTTTTGCTGATGAACAGAACGGGAACAGAACGGAAAAAAGAATGGCAGAATTTGAAGGGTTCTTCTTGGAGAACTTCTAGTCCAGCCCTCTNATCTTTCCAGATTTCCAGATCATCTCATCTCTCCCACTGCCAAATGCAGGACTAGATATCACAGCTCTATCTGAACAGTAGAGATGACACTTATCCATGTCTTCACCATCCAACCTCTCACCTGTTTCTTCTTTCCAGGCCAAGACCAGGGGCTCCCGCAAGCCCTCGTGCTCCAGGTACCACTGAAAGTGGTCCCTCTCCTTGGGGTCGATCTCAATGCTGAGCCAGAGATAATAGGTCCCGTCTGAGTTGGGGGCCACATTCCTATAGAGGGTCCCATTCTTCCAGACCTCTCCATCCCTCCTCCAGGTGGCCTGGATCTCCTTGGGGTAGAAGCCAAAGGCCTGGCAGATGAGGACCTCCAGGCTGTCATCCACCACCTTGTGTGTCAATTTCCCCAATGGAGGATCTGCAGAAATGGCAACAACACAATTCCCAGGATTCTGAGTGTTTTTCCTGCAAAGTGATTTTATATAGCAAGACCTCATCCGACCATCATCTCCCTCTGCTTCCTCTCTGCGCCTGAACCTGTGGGAGCCTCCATAAGGCATTGAAATTGTTTTGATTCATTTTTGAAAGAAATAGATAGAATTTTGGGTAAAGCTCACTCTGAACAAAATACGCACATCTCAATTTGGGGATTGAGTCCAATTGAATTTGGTCAGGTTGTTTCAAATAGAAATCAGGACCAGACTGATCTTTTCCTCCTGACCCAAGCACAGGACACATTTATTTTCTTCTGCTTTGCAAGGTTTTCTGAGGGAAATGGAAAGTCACCTTCAGGCTTAACTTCTGGCTCAGTTAGTTTTGTTTTCTTTGAAGTCCTTAGTTTGGTGGTGGGTGGGGGGAGCATTGAAAATTATTTTGCTTCTGTAATGGGAGATGTGGGATATTTACTGACTCTTTTCTGTCAATAGTTTAAAAGGTAGCTTAGGATAATATGGGGAGAGGGAGCAGACAGAAACATGTTGAATGGAGACCCCTTTTTGCCACTCACCTGTCCTCTGCAGAGCCTTGTTCTTGTAGGACAGGAATCTCTGCAGCCACTCAATGCAGGTCTCCTCCAGGAAATCTTTGTTTTTCTTGAACCTTCTTGGATCCTTCCCGCACTTCTCCTTGACCTTCTGGGCCTGGGGCTGAGTTGACCCACATCTGATGGTCTCATTATCGAAGCTGATGAAGTCCATCCCATCATAGCCATAGTGCAAAAACCCTCTTTTGCTCCCATTGTCCATGATCTCACAGCCCCAAATCGCCTGCCAGGAGTGAAGCCCTGAAAGAGACCCAGAGGGGGTGGGTGTGAATGGAGAGTCCATTCCTCTCCCTAGATAGCATTACACCCTATTCCCCCTTCCCACCTAGGGAGAGAGGGGTCAGGGGTCGGCTGGGGTCAGGCCATGAAGAATTTCTAGGTGAGAGAGATAATTGGGGTTCAGGGGATTGGAAGTGGGGTGTCTTTCCTTTTCAGGAAATAAGCAAGCAAGCAAGCACTTAGAATTATATACTGCTTTACAGTGCTTTACAGCCCTCTCTAAGTGGTTTACAGAGTCAGCCTCTTGCCCCCAACGATCTGGGTCCTCATTTTACCCACCTTGGAAGGATGGGAGGCTGAGTCAACCTTGAGCCTGGTGAGATTCAAACTGCCAAATTGCAGGCACACAGCCAGCAGCCAGCAGAAATAGCTTGCAGTACTGCACTATAACCACTGAGCCACTGTGGGTCAAGAAAATCTCACTATTATGTCCCCTGCAGGCACTGCTGGCCAAAGACGTCACTGGCTCTGCTCACCTTCAGTTGGGTGGTCCAGTTTGGATATTTTCTTCAGGTCACCACTAAAGATCCATTCAGGGACCAGAAACGTCTTATTCTCCTTCTCTTCCATCCAGGGCACCAGAGGCTCCATCATCCTGGTGGGGCTGTCAAAGCGAGTGATGGGTTGGCCATCCAAGTTGGCCCTAATGAAGTACTGGAGCAGCTCCTGAGTGGACTCTAGGAGTTCCAGGTAGAAGTAGCACAGGGAGTTTGAGGGAGAAACTGGAGAGAGACGAGGGAGGAGAATGAGGGGGGTCTGCACAAGAGCTCCATCCCCTCCAACATTTTATTGTCCCCCAGCTGCCCTCTTTCTGCTCTGCTTGGGAAGGTATCTGCCTTTAAAGCTAAGGAAGAGGACTCAGCATCCCTTGGCTGGCCTTACAAACATCTGGCCAGACCCACCTCTGGTTAAGGTAGGTACCCATGTAGCTTCTCTGGGCCCCCAAGATTCCTGGCAGCTGCTTGTGTGCCTGACTTAGATCAGAATCTCCCCCATCAACCAGGACTGACCTGGAACTTTCTTTTTAGAGTTAGAGACCAGCCCCTACCCCTCCCTCCAGCCCATCCCAGGTGGCTCTACTTTCTGATCAGGATGGATTCCATGCCAGGGAGCTCCACCTCTCTGCCTGTTCAGGAGAGGAGTGGGAGGTGCCTTCCAGTGGAATCCCAGGTGAACAAATTTTGTGCTGGAAAGGGGGAAGAGCGCTGCCTATGGCATTGCCGGGTAGCGCCAGGTGAATGGAGGTGGCACTGGCACATGGGGGGCACCATTGCCAATCTGGCCCGCCACCTATGGCTGCCCTCCCATCGTCTGCCCCCTCTATTCTCCTGATGCGCCCCCCGCCCCAGGTCCCACCCCATTCCTGCAATGCCACCTCTGTTCGCCTGGCATGGGAGCCATGCCGTCTTGCTCCTCCTCCCCCTTTTCGTTAGATCTGACTGAGTTGCGAGCCACCTTTGAAAAGGCCCTTAGAGGCGCCTTTCCCTTCCCTCAGTCCAGGCCGACGGCGGGAAAATCAAGCGCTGTCGATGGCTGGGCTGCCCGACAGGACGCTTAAAACAAAACAAAAAAACAAAACAAAAA